ACTCTGCTTATGTAAGAGGGAATGTTGACCGGCGCTGAACAGCTAAATTAAAGGTTATTTACATACATAAAAGATGAGACAGTAAGATTAGAAAATTTAATGAAATTTTCAGAATACTCAAGGAATTCGTCAGGAATAAAAAAATCGCGTCGATGAATCGCATGCTCAAAATAGACTGAGGCCTTAATAGTACCAATTCGGAAATTTGTTTTCAAGACATCATCCCTTGATGGCTTTAGTTTAAAGATATCTTGCCTACTAAAATTTTAGCGAATAATTTTTTCCAAGTTCAATGTCCAAAGCGAGAAAAAGACCCATAAAAAATTTAGATGCAACACCCAGAAACCAGGAACACAAGATACTACCGAATATCATAGTTAGCCCATTTGATATCAAGGAGAATAAGGCCACTTCATATAGGTACTTTTCAGGGGGGGGAATATAAATATTAAATATTAAGTTGCTGGTAAATATTAATTAATCCCGATTATGAGTGAAGCTCCAAGCGATCCACATTATATGATAATCTTGAGACTCAAATGAAGGCTAAGATTAAGATAGCGGATAAAAACGCAAGGAAAGAAATAAGTAACCTATTGCGTATATGAGAAATAAGTAGGCAAATTTACATCTTAAACTAGGAATAGTTTATCAATAAAGCAGAGATACGAGAATGCATGGTAAGGGTAATAGGAAGAGTAACGAAAGGAAGTGTTTATCGCCTGTAATTAAGGTTAGGGCTCAGTTAATATAATATAGGACAAATAAATAAGATTATGTAAATTTATAGAATAGTCCACGAAATGTACGTTCAAAGGAGATGGTGAACAAAAGTATCCAAAGAAATCAACAATAGGATACTTAAAGGCTTACCTTCCAAACTACATGGGGTTCTCCCGACTTTTCTGGTGCCTTATAAGTCATAACTGCTAGTTCCATATGCTTTGAACCAGATTGGACCACTTCCATCAAGGATTTCACTGCCAACTTGACCGTACCGTACTCCGTGGAAACAGCATCGGCATTATAATTCTTCTCCAAAAACTCTCGAGCCACCTTTGAATTTTTTCCAATTGCATTAGCCTAAATAGATAATTAATTCCAAAGTAAATACCAGCCATTCGAAATGTGTTCCAGAAGGATCTGTCTGGTAAAGATGGGGCGAACCATCTTTATTGAAGCCACAAATCAGAGTAGATACACCAAAGGGTCTTCTTCCTGTACTCTGGGTGTACTTTTGCTTTAATTGTGCCATATATCTTGCGATGTATTCCAGCGAAACAGGGTCCTCAACAGTTAATTTGTAGCTCTTGCACTCCACACGGATTCGGCTGATCAAGATTCTAGCGTCGGCAGTGAGGCCTTCAATAATTTAATAAAAATAGGTACCAGCAAAAGCAATGGCTACATGATCATCCAAAAGTGCGATCTTCCGTATGGTCCTATCATTTTGCAACTTAGTGACGGCTTTCTTCTCTACGCACAAGACTACACAATTCTTGCCGCGGATCCCAATCTGCAGCATAAATGAAACGTCAGAATTACCGCTGTGGAACCTTTTTTGACAGCTTCTTGTGCATATTCTACCTGAAAAAGATGTCCATCCGGAGAAAAGACGGTGATTGCTCTATCGTACTTAGATGTCATTGAGAAGGATGAGTAAGGGCCTTGTCAAATGTCCCTCA